TCTCAAAACTTTTGCGGGTCCCCGACCCCTAAAATCTGGAAAAAGGGGGCGTGGCATTAGCCACGCCCCCGAAAAAATTTTTTTTACAAGGCTAATTTGATTTTTTAAAAATTTTTAAAAATTATTTTAATTATTTACAAAAATAAATAAGTCACTTGCACATTTTTATAACCCATGTAAGTAACTTTCAAAAATTTCGCGACCCATTCTCGAGGGGGGGGGCGCGCGCCCCCCCCCCCCCGCCCCCCCTCGGTACGCCACTGGTATGTCTGTATGTATGTATGTCTGTCTGTATGTCTGTATGTACGTATGTTCCGAATAGAAAATTCCATTTCTGAACCGATCCGGACCAAACTTGGCACACATGCACTTCGGGCCCCGGCGGGTGTCATAGGCTACTTTTCGTCATCGATCGATATCGATTTTATCGTTTTTATCGATTTTCTTGCAGAGATCACCTACGGGGCTGGGAGTTGGCACAGAGGGTAAGTGAGCATGGGGATGCCGAATACAATATTGGTTTTCAGGATTATCGATTACTTTTATTGATTTTATCGATTTTTTTGCAAAGTTTGAGCTACGGGGCTGGGAGTTTGCACAGTGGGTTAATCGAGCATGCTGATTACGAGTTCGGTATTAGTTTGGCGCTATTCGGCTATCCGGGCCGCAAAATTTTTTTGTGGTAGAGCTTGCTCAAACTTCGTGTATAAGGGTTATCTTAAGGGCCGGGCATACTTCAAGTTCAATCGCGACGCGATTTGGCAATATCCCAGGTGTCCATAACTCATTGTAAGCACATTATAAATGTACAGAAGATAAGGCATTTCATCAGTTTACGTAAGTCATACACACTATGCATGTGCAGTTTGCTAATGTTGGATCCGAAGACTTCTGGCGAATTGCTAAATCGCGTCGCGACTGAAATCGCGTGAAGTATGCCCGGCCCTTTACATGCTGGTTACAGATATCACACTTTCTCCGCAGAAGGTCTTTCCGTGTGGTTACGATAGGTGTACGGTAGGAAGTCAAAATCATGAATTCGGTTGGAGTTCGGTCCATGTGGCTTATTCGACATGCTAATTACGAATATCATCTCTCTTTGCATATTGAGACCTTTTCATAGAGTTGTGGTGGTTTAATGGCCTGGGGTCGAAAACATAGATTTGCTTTAAACTTCGTCTAGGGTGGTCATTTAGCGCGCTGAACATGAATATCATGCTGATTTCGCAGGATAGTGCATTTTCTTGGGTTACGGTGGGTGTAGATGGATCGAAGTTCCAGATTTGCAAAACTTTACCTGTAACGGTTCACAAGTATATCGCTTATGAATATGATGCTTGCCCGCTGTCATAACGCAATAGTGAAGTAATGGTGAGTTGCAGGGTTTGAATGGACATTTTTTCGCTTTCGGGCCAATTTAGATCCCAGATATTCAAGCTGTGGGGAAGCGGTCGTTTTGCACAGCGGTCTCCACCGCCATCCTGATAACCTGTCCCAACGTATAATACACGCGGCAAATCTCCCTCCCCCTGTTTTTGCTTAGGCAAAAGCCGCCGAAGGGTGTATCGCGTGCGGCAGTGGTCCTATAAGGGAAAGCATTACGGTCGTGGGAAACTTTTATACCACAAGAATTGCTTTTATTGTCGGGATTGAGCACGATATTTTTGGAACAGCAGTTTAGGTAACTCCTTGCCAAGGTTTCAGGCAGGTTCATGTCTTTTACCCGCTGCCATTTACCTACCGCAACTCTGCGAAAAAGTTTCAAAACGCAAAGAGAGTGATCGTGGTCAAAGGTCGAATCTCTCTAGACCGAGTTTCAGCCAAAACTGAAATTTTGCCCCTCCGCAGTAGAATTACCATCACTCGATTACGCCCCAAAATGCCGAAGGAGTATGATATTCGTAATCAGCATGTCAATCAGCCCCCTTCAAAGTTTCAGCAAAATCCATGATTTTAGCTTCTTGTGTTACCCAACGTAAACCCAGAAAATGGCGCTATCGCGCGGAATAACTACGATATTCGTCATCAGCGGCTTTAATAATCCATATGTACGACTTTGTGCAAGATCCATCACAAAAACATTTCGGGGCTGGATAGCCGAATAGCGCCATCAGTTTTCAGAATTATCCTTACTTTTACGGTTTTATTGCTTTTTCTTTTGCAAAGTTTGAGCTACGGGGCTGAGGGTTGTTGAGGGAGGTAGGTGGGCATGCTAATTACTAACACAGTGGGACACAATGAGAGGTTTTACAGGGATATGGATAAGACCTTAATCATAGCATTGACAGGGCCGGGCGGAGCCGGGTAAGCCAGCTAGTCATGTACTATTTTGATTATCGTTTTTGTTTCCTAAACACGAGCAAGTGAAAATCTTCACGGTTTTGAGTTGCTTAACTGACTTTTCAAACATTCCTTATGCGAACAAAGTTAAGGTTGTTGTAAGCATAAAGTACTAAGGAAGCTAAACTGATGAATGCGCTCAAAAACGGCGAAAATGATAATCTCGGACAGTAACGCATTTGTAAGCCCTATTCATTCTGATAACGTTGAATTATTCGCTAAAGTCTAATGAAGTAGAGTTTAGATGAAACTGGTCTAAGACTCTGAGGTAATTTGCATAATCATAGTTCATTCATTACTTCGCAATTGATATTCGGTGACTTCTTCGAAAAATCTGGTCGTTTGAGGGCATTTTTGGGGTTACCGCTAAGTGCGAATGTGATGCGGTAACTAATCTGAAATTGAGCACAGTTTTGCATTTTTCCTTCTACTCGTTGATGATTAATGTGTAGATTTTGATAGTAAATTTATACATTGTTCTACTCTCATTCTGTCAATTTGCACAAATGTGCCGTGTTCTCTCGCAACATATTTCAAGAAGGCATAGCCTTAAACATTTCAGCCAAAACCCTAGCTATACTCGAAATAGATTTTGCGATTTGTAACCTTTCAACAAAAAGTAGGAAATGAAAATCTGCGCGCAAGTTCAAAATCGGTTGAATCTGTCTTTGTTAGGGCCTCTATTTGAGCTTCTTCTTGCATTTGAGCCTTTAAAGGCAGCGTCCAGGCAGATCTGGGCCTATGGGGATTTTACGTGGAAAGTACTTTTGGGGCCCTAACTAAGGCACTGCTCAAGCGGCAGCGCAGTTAGTGCTCTAACGGCTGAGGTATTCCCCTCGAAACTGGACCCCGCGATCGTATTCGCATGGATTCATGGCATTTTCGCGCCAGGACACATGCTTTGCGCCATGAAGCCATGCGAAACACGATCGCGGGGTCCAGTTTCAAGGGGGATATCTCAATCGTTAGAGCACTACAGTCTGCACCAGTCCTAACCAGGCCAAAATCGGCATGGCGGGATTCCGCGCCGCGAGGGTTTCGCGCCACATCTGCGGCTAGCTAGTCTGCTCTCTCCTCGATCTCTTCACTCTCTGCGACAGCGCGCGTATGCAGCGCAATCCCTTAGCGGTGCGAGCGCGCAAATTCAGCCGACGGTTCGGCCTGATCCCGATTGGGGCAGACTGTACCTGCGCTCCCGCTTGAGCAGTGCCTTAGTTAGGGCCCCAAGATTACTATTCATGTGAGAGCACCATGTGTCCAGACTTGCCCGGACGCTGCCTTTAAAGGAAGCCACCGACCAATTGACGAATCCGGCTTCGTCCTATCCTCGACTCAGCCGTTCTCCCGGTCCTCTGTTACGCTGAGACTTGGGCCGACATTGTAGCCACGTCATTAACTTTATGGACCACCCACACGGTTCAGCGCAGTCTTCTGAAGATGACCCGACACAAGCAACATCTAGTCGGACTTCGCTGTACGGATTTGAGAAGAATGTCTCGTCTTCGTGATCCAGCGGAATACGTTGCTAAAGCGAAACACCGATGAGCCGGTAACATCTTGAGAAGAACAGATGACAGATAAACACTAAGAACATCGGAGTGGATTCCTCGCGAAGCGAAACGTCTTCGAGGAAGATTCTAACATGAAGTTTGTAGAACGGATGGACCAGCTGAGAAATTAGCTGACTACGATTCTCGCCCCTGGAACTCTTGGACGCAGTCACCAACGACAACTAAGAAGAACGTGGATGTCTGGAGCGAGAAACAGGGGTAAATGGAAGCTTCTTTGCTGGGATCCGCACGTCAGCCGGGCTTAAGTAACTAAGTTTGTCTTTAAGAGAAATTTTTTCTTTTTTGCCTTTAATTGAAGCTCCACTGCCGCACCCCATTCTTTTTGGAATGCATGAAAGCATGAGAAAAGTTTGAAAAATTCGTAATAAGCTTCTGCTTTCTAAGAACTTTTCGGAAGCATCATTTCTAGAAACGATAGAACTCTGCATTAGGCTTCCCTTGTCTTGCACCAATTTTTCAGAACTGCATTGTTTTTCCATTCAATTTATTCACTGCACAGTAACATGAATCTACAGCTAATAGGTTGGCACATAAGTTTTGCAACTTATCTCGTAACTTTTGTCTTTTTGACTGCGAGGCACTCATTCTTGGGCATAATTTAGATTGGGTACTAGGCTACAAACCTGCTCAAACAATTTGGTTTTCGGTAGCGAAGTGGAGAAAATTTACTCATTTTTCGGAAACTGGTCAAATCCGAAATTTCATGGGTCGGAAAACCATAAATGAAGCCGTTCTCAGTCTGAATCAAACAAATCAAGCCGAAACTGTGTATATGGTTAAAGTTTTTTCTATCAATAGTCTGGGCATAGTTTCGGCTCGATATGTTTGATTCAGACTGAATACGGCTTTATTTTTGGTTTTCCGACCCTCGAAATTTCGGTTTTGACCAGCTTCCGAAAAGTGAGCAAATCTTCTCCAGCTCGAAACCAAAAATCAAACCGTTTGCACAGATTTGTAGCCTACCATCAATTCTACATAATGCTTGAAAATGAATGCGTCACATCCAAAGAGAGAAAAGTTACAAAATAAGTTGCAAAACTTATGTGCCAACCTAATACAAGCATCAACTACATCATACTACAAGCATAGGGATAGATGTGAAAAAGATATAGTATATGATGAGTGTGTCATATGCGTTATCCTCATTTAATACCACACAAAGTAGGAAGGATAATAGCTGTAGCTGGGGTATGCATAATATGTATACGTTCTGTAGCTGGGGTATCCATACAGAAATTGTCTCTTTTGGCGGACAATGCTGCTGCAATATAGATTGTTTTAGTTCAGAGAATTGTTAAATTGGATATATTGAATGCTAATAGCTCTGTCGATATATGGGATAACGGCTGTTTTTGAAAGAAATTTCGGTAAAAATATTTGTTACCTGACGTCTGAGTCCGCTTCTGCCGCATCTACAGGTACTGGCTCTGCCATGGTGAAGCACATGACTGTGAGCATCAGAACGAAGGGGATAAGCATCCAAGCACGCATTATTGCCTATTAACCTTGAAGTAGAAGAGCTTCACAATCTGCCCGAAGGCGAATATAAAGTTTTCTTTTTTATGCGGAAGCTGATTGGGAACTCATAATGAATCTATTGTTCAAGCGGCAGCTCATATTATTTGTTCATGGGCCAGCAGTATAACTCTGAACCCCAGCTCAGATACTGTGTAACGTAATCGATGACGCTGATTGGTGCGCTGAGAGAGACCCTTAAGTTAGAACTATTTTGATTTTGGCAGACTCATGACCTCATTTCAATGTGAGCAAATCATATTTTCTAATAACAAAAAAGCTAAACAGGCTTGATGCAAAAAGTTTGCTAGTTTTTGTTTATGATTCTGCACATTTTTTTATGGTTGAAAAGGAAATACTATTGATTTTAATCAAGTCTAGTCAAGTATTAGATTGTGTAGTAAGTTCTGTCCCATTTTTTCTTTCGATTTTTCCTCATTATTTTACGCGAAGTTCTGTAAATTGTTTATATGCATTTGAAAACTCTAAGCCTTCTCTACTGAAATTTTCATTTCGTTTTTCTAGATCAAGAGACTTGAAAAAGCATCACAGCTTTAAATTTGAAAAATCAAACAATGAAAAGTCCATTTTCGACAACTACGTTACGTCGCCTTCCTAATTAGTCAGAATGCCTACGAATAAGCTCGAAGAATTTGTTACACGTACGCAAAGAATGCTCTAGCTCTATTGCACTTCAGGTGTACTGAAACTTTTAAAAAGTCATTTCTGTAGACTTTAGAAAAGTCTTCTTTCTAACGCCTTTTCAACGTTGGTGTTGAGCATCATCAAGGCATCCTGAGAGAAGACGGTAGGCGGATCATCTGGAAATGACAGAGGGGATGGTTTGTGGCTTCAAAATTACCAGATTCGTAGGTTAAATACTCAAAATTCGAATTTTGGGAGAGCTACACAGCTTGGGTACGGGAGACGACGAACATCGCTGTGACAGTCTTGCCTTGCCGACTTTCAAAAAAATGTTACTAAATAGCCGATGCAAAGAAGGGAAATACGCAAACAGTAATAGAATAAGTGTAAAAGTTTAATAGATTGTTTTGATTGTTGTCAAGCTCGTTTAATAAGTTTTACCAATAAAAATCGAGAAATTGGAGAAAAAAGATGTCGGAAATTGATTTTTCGGCTCTTTGGATTTTTTGTTTCAATGATAAAAATCTTTTCAATTTTCTGCTATGTTGGGGAATGATGCATATGAGCCTGCATAGCAGACTTAGAGCTTTCAAATGCATATATGCTTTATCTAAAATATAGTCAATGTCGTCAATAAAAGATCAAAACAAAAATGGGACAGAACTTAATACACGATCTAATATATAGCTGATAAAGGAGGTCAACAGACGATTTCTGTACGCTCGCAACGATGCATGCACCCGACCAGATGCACCTGCTTATATACCAACATCTGTTTTGATCTTATGAAAAAATATTTATAGAAAAGAACACATGCAAGTGTACATAATAACTCAAGGTCAGCAAAAGACATGCTTAGAACTTGAAAGTCAATATTTTTTAAGCTTGAAGTTGTTTGGTTTAACAAAAAACAGAGCTATGGTGACTTATGAGTGTCTCACATATGTTTACTTCCGCAATCCAGTTGAGGAAGTTGTTGGAAGAAACATTTGAACATTCGAACATTTGCCTTGATAGATATTCCAGTGTAAATGTTGGAGAGACTCCAACTCCAACAAATGGATCCCTCAGTATAATCTTTGAAAAATCTATTACTTGAGGCCAAAACTGTATTTAGCTAATAGTCCTTCATTGAAAAATGTTTGACAGCAATTTTCTCATCATCGAGGTATTTCAGGAGTGACCTCAAGGATTTGCGCAGGTACCGTGTGCGATTCTCCTTCGTGCAAAGCTAATTTTTGGGTCCCAACCAAAATGTACCAAAATTGTGTTTGTTGTTTTTGATTGTTGATAAGTCTCTTTCCAAAAAGTCTTTTGCCTACCCTCAGGTACCATCATGTAGAGCTAACTTCAATTTAGGTTTACAGCATGGAGCGGATCACCGGTCGTTCTTCTGGCTTTCAGCGTCATTGTGGATCAGTCGCATTTTAAAAAAGCTCTCAAAAATCTTGATAAATGGTGTATAAAGTATAGTATGCGTGCTGGTCTCATTACTTGACCCTGTTGGAGTTTGTAAACCTTTTTGCTTTGAAAGATAGCTATAGTGTTTACCTGACTTCAGTTATGACAGAAGCAATGCGATGAAATGCAAACTTCAGCCTTGGTTTAAGCGGCTTTGAATGGCTTAGTGTAAGAGTTACCAGGTTGTTTGGTTTGCATTCTGGCGCAAAATGAAGCCTTAATTGCTCAAAACTCTTCTTGAAGTTCCTATCGTAATCCTACAATAATGCAGAAAGACTGATGATTTGCTCCGTGCCATCCATAGCCGTGCTGTAAGTTCAACAAAGTGGCATTGAAGTTATTCAAAAGAATTCTACGAAAGAGAGAGACATTGGCGACCCAACAGTATGTATAGGGTGGCTAAAAAGTATGGGCGTCACATTTGTGTTTGCAAAACATCTTTCAGAAAACGAGATTTGGTAAAATTATGTTTTGCATGTCAGAATTGGAGACGTCCTGTGTTACCCCTACAAGACTGGACTCGTGCAGATGCATACAGTTGTTGCCAAAGTTTGAGCGAATTCTGAAGATTCAAGATACTAGGCTACCTAAGTGAAATGGTCGTTTTTCAACATGATTAACTTTATTTCAAAGGTGAATTAGCTATCCGTTTTTGCACTTTAGACAAAGCACTACTCCTTCTTTGCCACCTCAGAAATCCCGCTTCAAAAGACGTCCAAACTGTGGAATTAGAAACCAGCCAAAATCTCATTTTTCCCATTTTTCGCTTTCAGTGGCTGTGCTTTCACCGAATATTACTCAGAACTAAGAAGATGAATCAGGCTCAAATCAATCCTATGGAAACTGCGAGATTTAAGCTATCCTCATAGATTCCATAGAAATGTTTTAAGCCTGATTCTTTTTCTTACCTCTAACAAGGGAACGATCCCAACTTAAGGTGGCGAATTGGAATGAACCACATATCATTAGAATCGACTTGATGAGCTGATTGCAAATCTACCTTCCATATCTGCGACAACGTTATCTGGAAGAAGTTATGAAAGGTTAAAAATGTGAAGTAACGGGGTTTTGATGCATAATTTCTAAAATCCAACTTGGAAGTGCACGACTAGCATAATATTGAGTGTACTGATTTCACGGAATGCTCACATTCAAAAGAAATGCAAATAAATGTTTTTGAACAGCTAAAAAGCAACTAAAGTTCTTTGGCAAAAGCTATGAGCTGTGAAAAGTCCGAATTTGGCAAATATACATAGCAATACCTTGAAAATTAGTTGTTCAAAAACACTTATTTGTGTTTCTTCAGAGTGTGAGCATTCCTTGAAATCAGTACACTCAATCAGGCTAGTCATACACTCCCAAGTTGGATTTTGAAGCGAATTATGCACTAAAAGCCCCGTTACTTCACATATTTAAACTTTCATAACTTCTTCCAGATAACGTTGTCGCAGATATGGAAGGTAGTTTTGCAATCAGCTCATCAAGACGCATCTAATGATATTCGGTTCATTCCAATTCGCCACCTTAGTTGGGATCGTTCCCTTGTGAGTAATATTTGGTGAAAGAGCCATTAAAAGCAAAAAATGGGAGAAATGAGATTTTGTGGTTTCTAATTCCACAGTTTGGACGTTTGAAGCGGGATTTCTGAGATGGACAAAAAGGAGTATGCTTTGTCTTGAGTGCAGAAACGGATAGCTAATTCACCTTTGAAACAAAGTTAATTATGTTGGAAAATGACCATTTCACTTAGGTAGCCTAGAATCTTGAATCTTCAGAATTCGCTCAAACCTTGTCTACAGGGTGTAATTGACATGCTCATTATGGATATGCTGCCCATTATGCATGACAGGGCCTTCAGGGAATGCTATTTTACAAGGGAAGGATACTGACTTAGATTTGCCTTTTGAGATGTGACACATATATTTAAAATCAGCTTGGAACGCTGATTCCAAATATGCTGCTCCTAACTGCTGAGCATTATTGTGAAGCGAGTTATGGCCCCTTTTCTGTGCAAAGTTTGCGTGCTCCTCGACCTACTGATGCTACGGTGTAGACGTCTAGATGATTTCGCAATTGTAGAATACTCCCTTTCAAGATCGAAGTAATTAATCTGAGGCTAGTTCAACATTCTAGCACTTTTTTCGAGCAGATTATTATCTACACGCCGTCTTACGACAATTACAGGGTGCGGCAAAAGTCTGGGAACCTAACTTTGCAGTATTGCAATTACAAAGGTACTGGTGTTTTTGGTTTCAATTTTATGCCACATGATGCTGCAGTCATCCTCTACAAAATACACTTTATTTGGATGGAAATGGATGCCACATGTTTTTGTAGGAATGGAAATCACCAAACTAGTACTTTTGCAAAGCGAAAAAACCAGAACTTTTAGTATTTGCAATTTTTGCTGTAGCTAGAGATACTGTTAATATTTTACAAAACTTCGATGCACACAACGTAGAAGAGGCTTTGCGCTATTGTATCCTAGTTTTGCTTTTGCCAGGAGCTGTTCTTGCATAAGCGGAAGATAAAAGTTTGTGAATGTTACCTACGTGCCAGTGGAAATCCGTCTTCAGAACAAATTTAAAAGCTATAGAATGCTCAACAGGCACTGGGACCAAGGCTATATTTTTTGCATACGTCTTTTAAATTAGAATCTAATGAATCGGCCATGGGAACACTTTTTATACTTTTTAAACGAAAATTTCAAGTTTTTATTCGCGCAATTGTAGCCAAAATCCCGGTATGCGACGTACACATGCTTCTAATTAAAAATCCAATATTTTTATTCCTAAGCAATGCAAAAAATTGTTTTGGAAGCATGTCGTAGATAAAACTTGCTCTATCGTGCTGCATATTTGCCAAGGAAAAAGAAGCAGTTATTGT